CCCAAAATGCTGAGATTAACACTTCCAAAAAGTGGCAGATGCATTATCGTCACTTCCTCCTTTTGACTCCACTGTAAATAATCGCCAAAAAACATAACCTCCAACCACCCAGTCGTTAGCAACAGTCTACGCCGAAACATCACTGGAATCAAATGGATACCAGAGGCAAACAAATTTCAAGACAGTAATGCATCTCCCCGCCAACCACTCTTCCCGTGAAATGTCACATCTACCCCCACTGTACATCGTCTTTACCTTCAACGAAGCAGAAGTAAACCAAGAACCCCTAACTACAAATCCTTCACATGAACTCCACCTACCTACCTACCCACCTCTCAAATAAGCAACAAATTAATGTTCCTGCCAATCCACTTTTCACATGCTAGACCAACTAAAAAACCACACCAACACCCTTAATACTACAATCGATCTCCACCTCGTTACACACTACAAAAGCTCCAGACCACTCCCTACTCAAACTTATCGAGGGACGACGCCTCCCCACACGACAAGTCCCCAGAAGACAGCATCACCCACTGCTTACATACTGGTCAAAAACTGTAACACAATAACGAAACACCCTCCCCAACTCCCCAACCAAAACAGCCAGCCCAAACCAAGGTCCCCTTACTCACTGCTTAGCAATACAATGTCGAGCGACTGCTCTCCATCTCTCCCCACAGACTCCTGCCACCATAGCCAGAGAAACGCACTTGGTACAATCGCACCGGGCCACTCGAAAAAAAAAAAAAAATGCAATCACTGGGCGATCTACCACAGAGCACCAGCCAATGCCAACAAACTAGAGCAACCCGCCTTCCCTCTACAGCCACAGCTCATACAGTAAACCAACCGCTCCCGCACCCCCTAAACCACACCTACTACACCAAAACGACAGCTAGTGCTAACCGAACAAACCCAAACAAAAGAAAGCGCAACCGTCCCATAACTTACCTCTTGAAGCCAAGACCAACCAATATTCATATATTTGTACTTGTCCCGCAGAAAAACCAATACGCCTCAAACAAACTACTTCCACAACGAAAATGATGTACAAGCAAAATTGTTTTGACACTTCCAATCAATTTAAACCTTTCTGCATTAAACAATAGTGGTCAAGCAAACAACAAGGTGCGAAATTATTATTTTAAAAATACAACAAAGAAATCAAGAATAAAAAATTCCGTAAAATTAACATACTTGCCCTGTACCTACATTTTACATTCCTTCAAATGTCTCCCTCTTCACTTCCTGCTCACAATTTTCATACAAAGAGAAGACTTCAGAAGCATATTAGATCCCGACATTCGAGACAAGCAAAAAAGAAATTAAGAAAAAAAAATATAATAACACGCTGACAGTGTTGCGCCGATTTCTATAAAACAAATTAAAATTTGTTCAAGATAAGCAAATTTATCAATGTATCGGCAAATAAAACTGGAGCTGGGAGACAATGTTAGGCACAGCCAATAGGTGCTTGACAGAGCCGAAATACGATTGTTCAGAAACACTTGCGATGTACGATGGATGGACCTGACTCATCGTATTCCTGTTTCGAGATCCACATTTGCTGGAAAGTAGAAAGCGAAGCGAGAATGGAACCACCAATCCATACAGAATACTTACGTTCTGGAGGAGCAATTATCTTAATCTTCATGGTGCTGAAAAACAACTCCATTAATCTCATGCAAAATACAGGCTGATGATGACAACAGCTGAAAATAATTGCATAACAAGGGACATAAAGTAGATATATAACCTTGGAGCAAGTGCAGTGATTTCCTTCTGCATCCTGTCTGCAATGCCTGGGAACATCGATGTACCACCAGAAAGGACGGTATTCGCATAGAGATCTTTTCGGATGTCAACATCACATTTCATGATACTATTATACGTGGTTTCATGTATCCCCGAAGATTCCATGCCTAAATACTAAACGATTAGCAACCTTGCCACTCTCGCACAGCCTTTTTACCAATTAACATTCTTCATACTTCCGAACTGTAGAGTAAACATACCAAGGAACGAGGGCTGGAATAAAGCTTCAGGACATCGAAAACGTTCATTACCAATCGTGATAACCTGTCCATCAGGAAGCTCATAGCTCTTTTCCAAAGATGAGGAAGATGCAGCAGTTGCCATCTCCTGCTCAAAATCAAGGGCTACGTAGCACAGCTTCTCTTTGATATCCCTAACAATTTCCCTCTCGGCAGTGGTAGTGAACGAGTATCCACGTTCAGTGAGAATCTTCATAAGATAATCTGTGAGATCACGCCCAGCCAAGTCAAGTCGCAAGATAGCGTGCGGCAATGCATAGCCTAAATAAAACTGAAGTTTACCCACCAATGTTATCTATGGCATTAAATCTTTTGCCTTCACTACGAACTTGCAAGTGAGAACCTTCATAAATTGGAACAGTATGTGTAACACCATCTCCAGTATCGAGCACAATACCAGTTGTACGACCAGAGGCATATAACGAGAGAACTGCCTGAATTGCAACATACATCGCTGGTGTGTTAAAAGTTTCAAACATAATCTGAGTCATCTTTTCCCTATTTGCTTTAGGGTTCAGTGGTGCCTCCGTCAAGAGTACTGGGTGCTCCTCTGGTGCCACGCGAAGCTCATTGTAAAAGGTATGATGCCAGATCTTTTCCATGTCATCCCAATTCGTGACAATACCATGTTCGATTGGGTATTTCAACGTTAAAATACCGCGCTTCGACTGAGCTTCATCTCCTACATACGAGTCCTGAAGGCTAATATTTGTTTCATTTAGTCTGCCACAAGTCAAAAACTCGGTACTTCTCAAGCCATGGTTATTAAAAACATGTCACTCTTTTTGAAAACATACAATTCACCACTCATACTGCAGTACATACCTTTTGACCCATACCAACCATAACACCTTGGTGCCGAGGACGTCCAACAATTGATGGGAACACAGCACGTGGGGCATCGTCACCAGCAAATCCAGCTTTACACATCCCTGACCCATTGTCGATCACGAGTGCCGCAACGTCGTCGTCACACATTTCGGCAATTCACTTATTGGCTTGCCTTTTGCTAGAGATAAAAGCACAAGATACTGCGATATAATGATGAAAAAAATACCGTCAGCTACCCTCAAGGGAAACTCAAACAACAAAACAGACTACCGTCTGAAACCACTTTCCCTGAGTAGCTGAATTACACAATGAGCTGACGACGACACGCAAATACATCACTAATTACAACAGGACAAAAACAAATATCGATACATCTCCACCGAAACACCGGCGTTAATTATTACCAAGTGCTACAAATGAACGATTGTCAACATCCCCCTTCTAACTCGCTTAAAAAAAACCCCTATAGCAACTTTCAAAGGAACAATCCCATCACAAATTTTGAAACCAATATGCTTCAGTACTTTTAACTCTGGCGGAAACAAATGGGATGCACCATCTGCAGTCGGTCACCTCACCAGCCCAGCGCTCGACCAAAAATTGCGAACGCGGCTAATTAAAATAGTATAACCAACTCAACAGCCAAACACGTAATAAAAATCCCTTCAAGGAATCTTCAATTCATAGCAACAGCATACAGGAAAAACTATAATATACAGTACAAACGGTCCACAGGGGAATGAATAATTGGAAATTTCGCAATATCAAAAGGAAAATGTGACTCCCAATTCGTGCAATGTAGCTGAAGGAACTGATTCATCCAACGGAGCGAGTGACGAAACATAGCTTTTTTCAAAATACTCCGACTACTCAAACGAGACTAAGTTATTAGAGCAGGAAATCGTCAG